TCCTGTGGTCAGAACTCACTCTTCTTAATTGAATTGTTTTCTTACTTTCATTATTTTGCCATGCCAACTTAAGTTCGCAAATATAATCTTACTCTGAAAATCAGTCTTTTAGTCATGACACTGACATGACGATGATAACAGCTTGGTACTCAAAGCACCAAATTCCAGCCTTGGAAGGGGCCTCACTTTGCCCTTCCACACACCTCTTCATCTGGTTGACGAGAAAGCCAGAGGCCAGAGAGGGACACGTTCCCGAGTGTCTACTTGCCTCACTACACCTGGAGAGTTACTGAATGAGGGCTCTGAAGTAACTGGCCGTACCTGCACAGATGGGTGAGACCTTCATCCTAACGAGTGCCCTTCATACTGTGCTTGGAATCTCAATGTTTCAAAAGCTCATCTTATTTTCATTATAGTTTATGATATACTCTCTATTCTTGTTTACATTTTGTCAACGCTTGCCTCCCTCCTTTGATTTCTTCCTGCTGAGACATGTGAGATGACTCAGGTTATTAGAAGCACTTTGGATAGGACAAAAGAGCCAATGGTGATAATTTCATCATATGTGGTTTTAAAATATAAGGGTTATCTTGCATTTAATTTGACCAATATAAATTGAGCATCAGAATCTGCTGGTTACTGCACTGGGTGTGGGGCTATGTTGCCCATGTAACTCAGGGGTAGGTTCTTCCCTTCTGGACCCCAAATATATAGAAAGGGGAAGGACCTACAAGAGGATTAATGCCAAGAGGAGCGTGGGAAACCGGCTCACCGTGTGAACTGGGCTCGGGACGTTCTCTAATCTGGAGAGGCTGCTTCGCTGACAAAGGAACGGGGACAGGGATGGCTGCCTGAGGTCAGCTCAAAGATCCTGCCCAGCTCTGCGATGTGGGCTGGTGACTGGATGGTTTCCACCTCCACTCCGGGGCACCCACGTTTCCTCCTCAGCTTTCTGAGCAAGGACAAGCCCAGAGCTTAGCAGGAATGGTGTGCCACACCCTGGGCGTGAGTCAGGCCTCCAATTTATGCAAGATGGGGACAGGTGATAGGGCTGGGACTGTGGCTAGTTCCCATTCTCCCACCTTGCCCTTTCTTTGGTTTTACATTTATGAGGCAGGGAGCTGCAGGACAAGGCTCTGCCATGGGGCCCCTTCCTTAGTGGCTGGCAGAGCTGCACCATTGTTTTCCTTTGCCGAATGCCTCTTAGCTCTCCATTGCTTTGAGTGAGTGGGGTGTCAGAGGAGGGGCAGGACTGGCTGGATGATTTGTGAACCCTGATGCAAAATGAAAATGCGGGCCCCTGTTCAACAATCTCAGAACAGTGACAGCAAAGCCGAGCATGGGGCCTCTCTGCATTCCGGGCCCTGTGCACGTGCACACATGGCACACCCATGAAGCTACCCTGGGTGGGCTGGACCAGGGAGCGGACCGGAGCTTCACGGGCACAACAGACCCCAGACCACTGCCTGGAGCCAAGGCCAGAAATGATGAGGTTTCTTCTCCAGCTGCACTGTCTGTGAACAAGGGCGCGTGTGTTATTGAAGCCTGGTGCCCAGAGTGTGTCAAGCGATTGCACTTAGATTTGGTGGCAGTCATGGCGCAGACGATCACACAGCTTGTTAGTGTCAGATGGGGACGGGAGCTCAGGCCTCCTAACTGCCGTGCCTTTTCTAGCCCTCGGTGAAGCTAAGTGACAACGAAATTGCTCTCTGTCATAGTGGGTTACATTGGAACTCGGGAATACGAGTGAAAGGCAGGAAGGGAAATGAGATAAATGATAATTGAGTGGAGAAAACAAAACAGTTTAGAAAGCCAAAGCAGTTTGTCTGAGTCCAATCTGATATACAACATACAGCAAAGCAGACAAATGTCTGGGCAGCAAAACAAAAACTGCACTAAGATATTTTCAAATAAAATACGCATATTTCCAACCAGCCTTGAGCTCATCTGATAAGGGACAGATTGTCCAGAGTAAATAGAGAGGAAAAAAAGATGCTCTGGGCTGAATTTAGTCCCCTGTCAAAGTCACAGGGAAACTAATTGCTTCTCCTTCTCCTGCCTGTCGCCTCTCCAGTGGCCGGGCTTGATGGGGCGGTAAAGGGAGACAGAACAGTTCGTTCATAGATTTGTACTTTTGTTCATTCATCCATCCATCCAACATTCCTTGAGCACCTGTATTATTGGCATTTTTCTGGGCTAGATCCTAAATAGAGTGTTTAAGATGTGGCCCCTGCCTCTAAGGAGAGGGGACCTGTACCGATCAGGGGAGAAAACTAATCCCAGCGAAGTGGGCTGCGTGCTGTGTGCCTTCAGAGCTCAGAGGGACAAGACTGGCGGCGTAGTTGGCGAACCTCCTTCAGACTGCGTACATCTCTCAGTGGATAACGTGCCTGCAGTTTTCTGTTTGCTTCCAAACTACAGCCAGGCTCTGTTCATCAACACGGTTCTTTGTTTCCCAGAAGACTCCCAGGAGGGGCTGGAGCTGGGGATGCAGGATATGGGATTCCTAGAGAGAGTGCCTATTTACCTTGGTGAGGCCCTGTCTGTGAGCCAGTCCTTCTTTGCATGATCCTTTAGAGGGAGAGCCTGGGGTGGGGGAGGTTCTGGTTCAGACCTGGTGAGGATCTGTGCCTGCTGATACTTTCTTCTCCCAACTGCTGCCCTAGGCATGGAGGTCGGAAAACAGCCCCACTGGGGCTGGGGCGAGGGCCAGCTGTGTGATCAATGGGGTGTCACTCATCTGAAAAATATCAGGAGAGGAGGGGGTCTCATACACTGGTGTTTTCTCACCCAAATAAGTAACACCTACATTCCGTCTTAATGACAGCAGGATTTAGGTCGAAGAGGAAATGAAATACATTGCAAAGGCTATCCCAGAAGAGAGGGGTGACAAGACACCAAGAGAAATGATCTCAAGGTACCTGTGTAGTAAAACTGTTCTGTGCTTCTCTGCTCCTTACTGTTGAGCATGTCACTTGCCAAGAGATCTATACATCGTCTACGATATGATTGGAAACAGTACACATAAGGTCAATTCCATGTGTCATCATCGGTCCCATCAGAGCAGCATTGCACATTCATGCCAATCCTTAGCATTTACAGTGCTTATATCACCTCCAGTATCTCATGTGCTCCCTCAACAGCCCAGGGAGGGAGGTGGGGCCTCCCATTGCACAGAAGAAGCGATTGAGGCTTGTAAGAAACTAAGCGACTAGCTGCTCTTCCAAGTGAGTGGCAGACAATGGCCCAGAGCCCAGATTTTTTCATGTGACATTCATTCACCACTGGTGCCTGCCCTAGATGCATTGTTCCCTGCTCCAGTTATGACCGGGCACTGTGTGACAGGAGCATAGCATGAGTGAGGAGGAGCATTCAGTGACCACCGGAGAAGTAGTGATGAGGAGACAGCTGCCACGTGGACACGTAATGTCTTTTCACAGTGCCTTTCCCTTTAAATAACACACTCCAAACAGCAATGCATCAGTTAGTCCCACTCTTACGCGACCAGGCTGGGATCCAGCATCTCTCAGCTCTCCCCCCACCTTTTTGCCCCCATCCTGAGCCATTATAAAGACACTTGGAGCTGAGTGGAAACAGTGTTTGTCTCGCAATTACTTCTGATTGCCCTGCAGTTATGTGGTGGATGAGTGGAGTGACCTAGATACCAGTTATGTGAAACTCCCTTTTCATCCTTGGGTCTGCGTTAAGGAGGAGGTGCATCAGCTAGATCAGGTAACAGTGGCTCGGTGCATCTCCCAGCTAACATTCATATGTAACTCCACATCTTCTCTTGTCAGCTGCCAGGTCTCCTTACGGGACAAATCCAAGGCTGCCTCTTCTCGGAGAAGCCTCTCTGCTCCTCCTCTGTATCCCCTCAGCACCTGTTCTGATCCTACCTTCGGGGCTCATCACTTTCTCCCTGTTTCGTCTTCCTGAACTCCTCATGCCGGAGACAGTGTCCAATTTCTTTCTCTCTTCTTGTCTACTCTGAGAACTGAGAATTGCCAAGGTGGTCACTCAGTGAAGACTTGTTGAATGAAAGCGTCCACTGATTATGTCCTAGACATTGTGGAGGTACATCAAAGATCAGTGGACATGGGATGTCTTTGCACAGTATATACCTTATACTGACTCTGTGTAGAAAACTCGTATTTGGGTTCTGAAATCAACTCATTAAGATTCAATTACATTTTCTAGCAATTGTCGCTATGTCAAGTGTTATTCTAGGTTTGTTTTCATATGCTTCCTTTCAAATTCAACATCTCGGAAAGAGTGAGGATACCCCCAATATACAGATGACCAAATATATTAACTCAGAATCAAAAACATGACCTGCTGTTGGGTGCAAAGCCCTTAACTGGCAGATCAGGATTCTGGTAGATTTTAACTGGTCATCATTAATGTGACATGTATTTATTTAGTACTTACTACATGCTAATCTTCATGGGGACTCTATGGGAGAATGCAATGTAGTCATTACTCTCAAGGGGCTCACAGTCTAGTGAGAGAGACATCCACTTAAATGGAAAAAAGATCGTGTGCCGAACTCTAACAGGACTACTGCCCAGAGATACCAAGTGTGCGTGTAGTGTTTCTGTTGTTTCAGAGACATATACTGCTCTACATGTCCTCTGTTCTTCTGCTACAAAAGTGGGGAAGATGCTCAAAATCACAAATATCCAATATGTCAAGTCATCATCAAAGAATTTTAATAACGAGTGTAGGCTTCGGACTTAAGCTTTCTTACATCTAACTGGGAGCACACATGTGCCATGGAGGAATGACTGGAAGGCTCCTCCCACTCCCCCCCGCCCCCATTCAAAGATTTCAATGAAAGAGGAAGCTGGCAGAAAAACCCAGGACTTCTGGAAGGAGAGGACAGGAGAGAGAGGTGTGTCACTGTAGAATGAGAAGAGCCCCACCCACAAGCCTAGTTCCTGGTCTCTGACAGGTTGGGTTCCACCCTGTCAACTTCCTCAGTCTTCTCACTGACCCTCTCATGAGCACTTCACTCTCAGCCCACTCGATGAGGCGAGATCCACGCCAAGTGGAGTGACAGCACCAGGGCACCCTCCTGTTTGGCTTCTCCTGTGCCAACCACACCTCCACCAGCGGCTGCCTGTTGTCTGAGCCCCTTCACCCAAGAAGAGAAAGAAGAGCCTGGAGCACGAGCCCAGCACAGGCAGGTAAGGCCAGTTGGCTGGCCAGGAGTTCACAGAGAGATAAGGTTTCTGTCCCTGTCCCTTAGGCTGCGTTTCTTGTCACCCCCACCACTGCCTTGCAGCTCCATGTGGGCCCATAGTTCTCCGTGACCATAAAACCGTCCCCTCTTCCTCCCTGCCCGGGGCTGATAGGATTTGTGGACCAGCATTTCCCAGCCGATTCAATCACTTGACATACTTATCTATAAATTGATTTTAATCTTAGAAGCAGTGGGATAGGTGTAATTTTCTCTCTTCAGTGGCTTGGTGAACGAGGCTTGGTGAATTGGAGTGATTTGTTCAAGTTTGATCAGCAGGCTAAGGCCAAGATTAGATTTGCTTTCTCCTTCTCTTTCCCTCACTGTACCACCCAGCGGGTCACACCTTGTCTCAAAGAGCCGAGGGGCGCGGTGAAAGGCTTCCTGAACTGTCAAATGACAAACAAAAGGTATTATTTCCTTGCAGGCAGGTCGGGAGGGATATTGTTTAATTCACCTCAGAGAGATCTTATAATGATATACAGGCTCCATCAAAGAGGACTATTTTTAGAGAACAAATGAGAATATGTATGTAAAGAGACCTTGTGCGCTGAACAGTGATAGGCAAACGCGAGAAGATGACTCCACGGGGCCTGCAACAGGCTCTGAGTCTCTGTGCATGAAGGTTTCATTTGGGCTGGATGACACTCCCCGAATGTCAGCAGCAGCATTCTGAGGCCCAGATTACAAAGTCCCCGAGGAAATACTTAGCTTTTCAGTCTTGCTGTGATATTTGGAAAAGCAAATCTCAACAGGAGGGAAAAACACCCCCTAAATCCCTTCAAATTGACTCCTGCAATTTCCTCTTATGACAGTTATCATTATATCTTATTGTTCTACAGTTTAAAGAAAATCTCATCTCCAGTGATTATGTAGTTTATTTTTTAAGATGCTAATTTTAGCAATCTTTTTTTTCCCCCTTCCTTTTCAAAAGGTTGTATCATTCTTAGTTGTGGAAGAAACTATTTCCTCTGTGTGTGTGCGTGTGAGTTTGTTATGACAGAGCTAATATTTATCCTATGGGTTGAAATGCTATGCAATCTTTGGCAGACTTCTGTTTATTCTTAGTGTCTGTCAAGCTCTAATGATCTTGAAGGTATCACATACTTAATTGCCTTTTTAAAATAGGGAAACTGAAACCCAGAAAGATGACATAATGTGAACAAAGCCACCACCCAGTGATCATTAGAGCTGTAAGTCAAAAGCAGATCTCTGATCCCTTGGCTGCCCCTGGCGTGAGTGAATGGTGGGCACCCTTAAGCAGAGGCGTCAGCTGCATCCTTTTAGGGATTGCACCCGATATCCTTTAAGATTCCTCTCAATTAAAAGTTTTAGGGCACTTTGACCTTTTCTTAGCAGTTACCCTGTAGAGTAGGGAGTTATCCATCAAAGCATCTTTCTTTATTAACTTAGTTCTTGTGGAATATTTGTTTCCATCAAATTTGGAACTTCTCCTTAGGTATAGTGTTGGGAGATGAGTAAGCAGTGGTGATGTCTTCATTTTATTCAACCAATCTGGATCCTTTCTTGTATCTTCTAGGATCCTTGTAAAGAGGTTTCACTCATTTTAAAAGGTGTAATGGTTGACTTTGAGGGTTCCTTTAACTCAGGGGCTGTAGACCAGCAGCCACAGGTGCGTCCAGCCTGCAGATGTGATTTTTTGCACTGCAGTGGTAAAGCAGACTGAGCTAGTTGCAAATATCTAGCATCAAGGAAATTTCTTACAAAAAATCAGTTATCACTTTTTTTCCACCCAAAGATAGCATCACAATGCCCTACATTCAGAACAAATTGCTCAGAACCCTGAAACTAGCCCAATAATGTGTTTCCTATAATCCATTCACTAATAAAATGATCAGCTCTTGATCATTTATCATGTATACGACCCTAAGCTTGAGGATTTGGGGATGAAGAGCAATGACCCCTCTGCAAAGTGGCTTCCTAGTACTGAAAATGTATACACAAATAACTACAACACAACACAGGACTTGTTTTTAAAAAGACAGTCTATTCCTTTGGTTAGAAAAGTGATGTATACATTTTAACTTGTGGGATGTAGATGGTTATGTTTAGTTGATACGCTTTGTCCTTTGGTCTGGGAAGCAGTCACCCCTTATGAAATAGGTAAAGAAGGTCCTTGCATGTCCTGGCCCTAGACTCCTCCATAATAAACGCAGCTGGGGAATTCCACAGGGTGTGACTGCTCCACTGTGGCTTACAGAATCTCTCATGTGTGGAAGCAAAGTTCTTGTCTTATGAAGGGCTGTGCCAGTCACATACAAAACATGTTTGCACACATATCCCAAGGAATTTGTGTAACTAACCAAACATTTCTCATTTTCATGTGCATGGTTGTGTGTGAGTTTGGTTCAGAAGTGTACCAATGTCTCAAAGGCCTTGGCTTTGAGGGAAGTAGGTAGGGAATGTGCCACCAGGTAAAATGAGGCATGTGAACAAGACTCATTCATTTCAAATTATTTTGCATCTACTTAATACACATATCTTGTCAAGTTTTATTTGTTCGAAACTATTTATTAAATGTGTGTTCTGAGGTTTGGAAACACAACATCAGTGAACAAAGAGAAATAATCTCTTCCCTCAAGCAGTTTACATTTCTAATGACACAGATGGAAAATAAACAAAGCCAATCAATAATATATATAATATATGAGATAAAGAGGAAAATAAAATGGGAGAAAAGTCTTGGAGAGTTGAGATTTTAGAGAGGAGGAAGTCGTTATCTGAGTGAAGATCCTAATGATACAAGGGAGTGAGCCATGAGTAACTGGAGAAACAGCCTTCCAGACAGCTGCAACAGCTAGTGCAAAGGTCCTGAGGCTAGGAGCATGGCTTCTTGGCACCTTTAAAGAATAAGGCATACATTGAATTGAGTGGAAAAATCTTTGGAAATTAAGTTAGAAAAGTGATGGTGGAGGGGACTGGGGGTAGCAATAATGGACTCTGAAAGACATAGTAAGAACTTTAACTTTCACTCTGAGTAAAATGGGAACCATTTTTAAATGACATGGTCTGACTTACATTTCAAAGGGAGCCTTCTGTTTGTGTGTTGAGAATAGATGGGGTTGGGGCGAGGGAGAGGACAGGCAGATGCTGGGAGATTCATTAGGGAGTTATTGCTATAGACCAGGTGAGTGATGTCGAAGCTTGGACAAGCAGGTAGTGGAGGAGGTGATGACAAGTGACTGGGTCTTGTGGTTGATTCATTGAATGGGGAAGACAGGAAGCAGCCAAAGGTGATCGCAAGATTTTTGCTGAGCAACTGGTAGAAAGGAATGGCATTTACCTGAGATGGAGAAGACCATGAGAGAAACAGGTCTTGTAGGAACTGTAGGAGCTTACTTTTGGACAGGTTAAGTTGGTGATATCGAGTGGGGAGCTAAATATATGAATCCAGGGTTCAGTGAGGCTCTCTGAGCCGAAGATAAAAAGTGGGAGTCATCAATATTCATGATATTTACAGCAATGAAATTAAATTAGATCGGCAAAGGAGTTATTGTAGACAGAAAAGATAAAAGGTGGTAATTGACTGGAGGTTCTGTAAGGTTTGGGGTTAGGGAGGCAAGGGGAATCTAGTTTATAGTGTACCAGTGGGGGTCTGGCCAGCGTGACTTAGTGGACTGAGCATAGTCCTGTGCACCAAGAGGTTGCCAGTTCGATTCCCAGCTCGATCCCCAGGAAAGGGGCGTGCAGGAGGCAGTCGACCAATGTTCTCTCTCATCAGTCTATCTCCTTCCCTTCCTTTGTCTCTAAAATCAATAATAAACATATGCATATATTTTTTTTCTTATTTAAATAGTATATCAAAGGGGAAGGGGCACGATGGGAATGGTCCCATGCCAGCAGAGAGGAGGATTTTGTCACTGAAATTGTTTACAATCCTCAGCACATTGTATAATGAAGAGCATTTTTCATCTACATTTTCTATAAACAATGCACCACTTTGTCATTATCTGTATCCTGGAGCAGGCCGCACCTGTGACTCCCACCACTGCCTGGGAGGAGGAAGTCCAGGTGAGCGTGGTGTGTTCTGGTACCCACGTGAGGACACCTTCCACGGGGGGTGGGTGGGGGGGTGGGGGGAGCGTGGTCAGGCAGCACAGATGCACTACGGGGTGGAATGAGATGCCGTCACAGATCTGAATGCAGCAAGGCTGGTGTGGGTTCAAGAGAGGAAAGGAATTGGAGCTGGAGACTGTACATGTTCCTTTTAATAAGCTTATTTGTGAAGGGACTCAGAGAAGTGGGCACAAGTTGGAAGGAAAATGAGGTGGCTTTTTTTTGTTTGTTTTTTCCCTTAAGATAGAAGATGATAGAAATAAACTTTTGTACAAACTGTAACCCGACCCCTGGCCTATGTGGTTCAATTGGTTGGGCCTCATCCCATGTACCGGGAGATCGCAGGTTTGATTCCTGGTCAGGGCACATGCCTGGATTGAGGGCTAGATTTCCCGCTAGGGGGCGTGCTGGAGGCAGCAGACTGATAGTTGTCTCTCCCATTGATGTATCTCCCTCTCTCCTTCTCCTTTACTCTCTAAAATCAATAAAAACACATTTAAAGAATAAAGAAATCATAATTTTATTGAAACACAATATTTATCTTTTCTATCCCTGTGAAACTGTCCTCATAAGAGTTATGGTCTTGCTCTGGCTGGTTTGGCTTAGCAGTTGGAGGGTTGGCCTGCGCTTCCAGAGAGACCCAGGTTTGGTTCCCGTAAGGGCATGTACTTTGGTTGCAGTTTGTCTCCAGCCCTGGTTGGGTCGTGCGGGTGGCAGCCACTTGATGTGTCCCTTTCACGCTGATGTCTCTCTCTCTCTCTTCCTCTCTCTCCCTCCCACTCTATCTGAACAAAAAATGTCCTCGGGTAAGTATAGAAAAAAAAGAGTTACGGTCTTACATTTTTTCACGGAAGGAAAATAAGGCCCCAA